ATATGTGAGCCTGGAGCACAAAACCAGTCTTAAGTAGCTGGGGTATATTTGTAGTAATAGCCAACAATACATTGTATGGGTCACAATTATTGATTTTTCTTTTATGCCAAAAATCATTAGGATATTAAGTAAAGATCATGTTCCATGAAGATATTTTGTACATTTCCTACCGTAAATATATGAAAACTTAATTTTTGATTAGTAATATGCATTGCTAAGAACTTCATTTGGACAACTTTAAAGATGATTTTCTCAATATTTAGATTTTTTTGCAATATTGTCCTATCCTAACAAACCATACATCAATGGAAAGATTATTTATTCAGCTTTCAGATGATGCATAAATCTCAATTTCACAAAATTGACCCTTATGACTGGTTTTGTGCTCCATAGTCACATATTTTCTAATCTCTATCTACATGTCTATATCTATAGACCGAGATAATAATACAATGTGACATTTTAAATAAATAGTTGCATGTACACAGCTGTTGCTATAGAGACGTGTGTAACAACAAGACATTGATCAGGGTTTGTTTTTTATTGGAACTTGACAATCATGCAAAACCAGTCAGAAAAGTTTTCCCATCAGACTGAAGAACAACGTCTCCATCTCTTCAACACACTCGTGATGCTTCATCAATCAATCGATGGAGACGAGCTCCACCTCAAAGATCAGCTTGGCGTTCGGCGGGATTCTGGTGATGAAGGTTAAGAACTCATTCATCTGTGATCTGCACAACATCAAACACTGAGCGGAAGAGTGAAGGATACTTGGAGTCGGGAAGACCTTTCCTCCCATACGCCCATTCAGCCTCGATCTCCAGCCGCGCCGTCTCGCCTTTACTCATCCTCAGCAGCCCTTCATCCCACTGCGCACACAACTCACACTTTACTCCAACACACCATACTCATCCTCAGCAGCCCTTCATCCCACTGCGCACACAACTCACACTTTACTACAACACACCATACTCATCCTCAGCAGCCCTTCATCCCACTGCGCACACAACTCACACTTTACTACAACACACCATACTCATCCTCAGCAGCCCTTCATCCCACTGCGCACACAACTCACACTTTACTACAACAACACTCCGAAAAACCAATACAAAAATGTCAAAACACTACTAAATTACTAAAAATGGCACTAAAATTAAAATGAAAATGGAAAATATAAAATCTAATTCAAAAACTACATAGACGTTAAAAAAACAACAATTATAAAAATGACAAAACACAACTAATTTACTACAACTTTGAACTAAAATTAAAATGAACAGATTGTATATATTAAAAAATAAAATATTATAGAAAATAAAATCTAACTTAAAATTGATTAAAAAAAAACTATAGACGTATACAAAAAAACAAACAAATAAAATGTCCCAAACATACAGCTAAATTACTAAAACTTTAAAATGAAAATAGAATACAAAAAATCTAGTAAAAAACAACAACTATATATACAAAGTAAAAATGACAAAAAAAAACGAAATTACTAAAACTGAAATTAAAATATAAAAATAAATAAACTTTATAAAAACTATACAGACATTTAAAGAAAACTAATAAAAATGCACACAACTAAATTACTAAAAATGGAACTAAAATTAAAATGAAAACGGAAAACATAAAATCTAATTCAAAAACTACATAGACGTTAAAAAACCAAAAAGAATAAAAATGACAAAACAACTAATTTACTACAACTTTTAACTAAAATTAAAATGAAAACTGATATAAATAAAAAATTAAATCTAACTTAAAATTAATTAAAAAAAACTATAGACATATACAAAAAGCAAAAACAAATAAAATGTCCAAAACATACAGCTAAATTACTAAAATAGAATTTAAAAAATCTAGTTCAAAAAATAAAAACTATATACATTAAGTAAAAATGACAATTACTAAAACTTTAATTAAAATTAAAATATAAAAATAAAATAAAATTAAACATTTAAAGAAAACTAATAAAAATGCACACAACTAAATTACTATAAATGTAAAATTAAATTAAAAACTGAATATAAAATTAATTATAAAAATTAATAAAAAGCTATATAGACTTTAAAAGCAAATACTAAAAATGACCAAAAAAACAAACAAACCTAAAGTAAAACTTTAACTCAAACTAAAATGCTGACGGAAAGTATAAAGTACTCACCCCTCGGATCACTCGGCCCATCCCGACCTTGAAGCTCAGCGGTTTGCTCTGCTTCTTCTTTTTTGCAGCTGAAAAACAGAAGAGAATCAAATAAAAGATCATTTATACCAACTACTACCATCTGATAACCAGAAAACCTGAGTGATGGATTAATGTAGTAAACTAAATCTGAAACCATCAAAAAAACATTTTTATTACTCGAAAAGTTAACAAAAAATACCTTAAACTTATTTTATTTCAGTAAGTTGCAATGCAACATTTCTCATTTTCATTTAGTTTAACGATGTACTAAAATAATGAAACTGAAAATTAATAAATACTCTACATCTCTTGAGGTTAGCGTGTGTGTTGAGGTTAACGTGTCATAAGTGTGTTGAGGTTAGCATGTCATATGTGTGTTGAGGTTAGCGTGCGTGTTGAGGTTAGAGTGTCATAAGTGTGTTGAGGTTAGCATGTCATATGTATGTTGAGGTTAGCATGTCATGTGTGTTGAGGTTAACGTGTCATATGCTTGTTGAGGTTAGCGTGCGTGTTGAGGTTAGCATGTCATATGTGTGTTGAGATAAGCGTGTCATATGCGTGTTGAGGTTAGCATGTGTGTTGAGGTTAGCATGTCATATGCTTGTTGAGGTTAGCGTGTGTGTTGAGGTTAGCATGTCATATGTGTGTTGAGGTAAGCGTGTCATATGCGTGTTGAGGTTAGCGTGTGTGTTGAGGTTAGCGTGTCATATGCGTGTTGAGTTTAGCGTGTCATATGTGTGTTGAGTTTAGCGTGTCATATGCGTGTTGAGGTTAGCATGTGTGTTGAGGTTAGCGTGTCATATGCATGTTGAGGTTAGCGTGTGTGTTGAGTTTAGCGTGTCATATGCGTGTTGAGGTTAGCATGTGTGTTGAGGTTAGCGTGTCATATGCATGTTGAGGTTAGCGTGTGTGTTGAGTTTAGCGTGTCATATGCGTGTTGAGGTTAGCATGTGTGTTGAGGTTAGCGTGTCATATGCATGTTGAGGTTAGCGTGTGTGTTGAGTTTAGCGTGTCATATGCGTGTTGAGGTTAGCATGTGTGTTGAGGTTAGCGTGTCATATGCATGTTGAGGTTAGCGTGTGTGTTGAGTTTAGCGTGTCATATGCGTGTTGAGGTTAGCATGTGTGTTGAGGTTAGCGTGTCATATGCATGTTGAGGTTAGCGTGTGTGTTGAGGTTAGCGTGTCATATGTGTGTTGAGGTTACTGTGTCATATGCGTGTTGAGGTTAGCATGTCATATGTGTGTTGAGGTTAGCATGTCATATGTGTGTTGAGATTAGCGTGTCGTATGTGTGTTCAGGTTAGCGTCTCATATGCGTGTTGAGGTAAGCGTGTCATATGTGTGTTCAGGTTAGCGTCTCATATGTGCGTTGAGGTTAGCATGTCATATGCGTGTTGAGGTTAGAGTATCATATGCGTGTTGAGGTTAGAGTATCATATGCGTGTTGAGGTTAGAGTATCATATGCGTGTTGAGGTTAGAGTATCATATGCGTGTTGAGGTTAGAGTATCATATGCGTGTTGAGGTTAGAGTATCATATGCGTGTTGAGGTTAGAGTATCATATGCGTGTTGAGGTTAGAGTATCATATGCGTGTTGAGGTTAGAGTATCATATGCGTGTTGAGGTTAGAGTATCATATGCGTGTTGAGGTTAGAGTATCATATGCGTGTTGAGGTTAGAGTATCATATGCGTGTTGAGGTTAGAGTATCATATGCGTGTTGAGGTTAGAGTATCATATGCGTGTTGAGGTTAGAGTATCATATGCGTGTTGAGGTTAGCGTGTCATATGCGTGTCCAGGTTAGCGTCTCATATGTGCGTTGAGGTTAGCATGTCATATGCGTGTTGAGGTTAGCGTGTCATATGCGTGTTGAGGTTAGAGTATCATATGTGTGTTGAGGTTAGCATGTCATATGTGTGTTGAGGTCAGCGTGTCATATGCGTGTTGAGGTTAGAGTATCATATGTGTGTTGAGGTTAGCATGTCATATGTGTGTTGAGGTCAGCGTGTCATATGCGTGTTGAGGTTAGAGTATCATATGTGTGTTGAGGTTAGCATGTCATATGTGTGTTGAGGTCAGCGTGTCATATGCGTGTTGAGGTTAGAGTATCATATGTGTGTTGAGGTTAGCATGTCATATGTGTGTTGAGGTCAGCGTGTCATATGCGTGTCTCACTCGCAGGGATGTTGCTGTCGAACACAGTCCCGTCCTCCAGCGTCCCAGTGTACCAGCAGCTCACAGTGTCTCCCTTCCTGGGGAAGTTGGCCTTGTCTCCTTTCTTCAGGATGGTCTTAGTGAACTTCGGAGGCCCCTGAAGATCAACCAACCAACAATCAAACATTGACATGTGACGAGTGAACAGGAGAATCGTTCTAATGATGCGTGTCGTACCTCGTCCACCGGCTCCATCTTGGTTTCTTTGGGAGCGTCGTTGATTTTAGCAGCTTGAACCTGTTCAGTCACAGCATCCACGTCTGTGCCCTTAAACCTCTGAGAAACACACAGCAATCACGGAAACTCCACAATCATCATCCTTCACATGCGCGTGCTGAGTGTGTTTGTTACCTTGCTCTCAAACAGCTGGTTATACGCCTCAATGAGCTGCTCTTTCTTGGCTGTTTTTGCCACATTCTTAATATTTCCAAGAAGTTTGTGTTCAGATAGAAACTGGAAATCAAGAAAGAAAGAAAGACATTTGATATATTGCCACTGCCAAATCAAATTCTATATTCAAATCATTTACTCATTGCTTAATATATGAATATAAATAAATATAATTTTTAATCAGTAACTTTTTTGATTTGACACTGTATATATATATATATATATATATAATTATATTTTTCACAATAGCATAAAATGCTAACACTTCTTTTAACATGCACATTTAACTTAAATTTCATTGTTATGTAAATACAAAAATATATATTTAATTAAAGCAGCTATTAATGTACATATTTGTATAAAGCTACTAAGTTGTACATTTAATTAATGTATGTATTAATTAATATACATCAAATATATAACTAAATTAGATATATTAGTAAAACTAATGTATTAAATGCATTTAATATAAATATAAAATTACTTAGGCATACACTTAGGTTTCATTGCTATGCCAATGTATCGCTATAAAAGACGTGCATTATTAAATATAATACATTAATACAATTACTTATTAACTGGTTAATTTAAATGCATTAGTTAATTAATGTATATATTTATATAAATTGTAATGCATTGCTATGCACATCTAACGGTGCGTTCCAAACGGGATATATCGCCCTCCGAAGGGCACTTCGGAGTGAAAACAATCATGGCCGCCATATTGAAGGGTCGTTCCAAACCGAAGTGCTCAAAACTGGCCACTTCAAAGGGCCCTTCGGAATGAAGGATTTCGAAGGGTACAACTGATGGACACTTCAGGCTCCCATGATCCTTTGCGCAGATTCTTTGCGTGATGACGTCGCCTCCGTGTGGGCACGTGATGTTGACGCAGAAGGGCACTTCAAGAAACAGTTGTTTAGTCCCCTACACCCTTCGAAGCTCTCACTCCGGAGGGTAAACCCTTTGAAGGGATTAGGGCATAGGGATGAGCCCTTCCGAATGAAACGCAGGGTCTGTCTATAAAAGACGTGCATCATGAGTAACTTATATGAACAGATGTGATGCCATGCGCGTGACTCCGGGAGCGTTTGGCGGTGAAGGCTGTCGTGTGTAACGCTACCGAGTGCGCTGCGTTCTCCTGGATGAATGTGATCAGATCTCTTTTGGGCAGTTCTTCACTCTTCAGCTGCTCGTCGCTCCACGCTCGCGCTGGATCCGCCGCCATCATTGATGAACGCGCCGCTGGCTGTGACGCAGCACGTGCCTGTGAACAGCCAATCAGGGCTCAGCGCGTCTTAAAGGAACAGCAACCGGAGGCTGCAGTTCTAGGACCCTATTATTTTGTAACAGCGCCACCTACCGAATTTGATCACTAAAGATGGACGACATGCACAGCAATCAGAGTGAGTAACTTTACCGATTTTCAATTAAGTTTTTTTTTTATAACCTTAAAACGTTTAGGTAGCCAGCGTAAGAACTGCTACGAAATAATAATGAATTCCCGATTGCTAGTTTGATTGATTATCACGGCCATGATTTAATTAAGCTAAA